AGAAGCAGATTAATAACATGACATTTTAAAATAGAGATCAATGTACTTGCCAATACCCTTTATGCACGTCGCTGATACTATAAAACCCTACACAATTAGTGAAAATGAATAAAATACAACAGAAAACCAAGACTATACTGCACCGCTTCGACTTTACCGCGATAGGATCAAGTTAAAGTTTTTTCGAGCATGCGCTGAAAAAAATACGAAACTGTGCAATAAACTGTGCTAAAAAAGCTGAATTAAAATTACAGAGGTGCAATGTGCCACATTCAGTGTTTGACGGAAGGGAGACAACCCATTCTCCTTCAGATGAATTCATGAATCAAAACCCGAATTTATTAGGACATATCCAATCTTAGAGATGCATTTAAAAAAAACGAAAGCCTCCGAGAGAGTTACTTAGCGGTAAAAATAAGACATTAGACAGGAAACAATAAATAATTCATCATAAAACTTAAATTATTTGTATACACCGGAAGTGATGACATCACAAAACGGATGTGCGTCACTTAGTTAGTTATACGAGACGAATCGGTTTATGTTAATTATACTGAAATAATTAACGATAAAAGTTCGGAGCTGTGCTTTTAACGAGGACTTGTGTGTCGAGCATAAATGAAGGATTTGGAACCCTGATTCCATTAATATTTAGGCTCTTCTTGTATAGAAATGCAATGTTCAATTAAAGTCGGGTTCGGTTAAACCTGATGGCCATAACTCCTGGCAAGTCTGTCGAACTATCTGACATCAGGTCGATACTCCTAATTAATATTTTTTCTATGTACTGACAAAATTTCGAAATAGACAAAATTAAACGCGCACAATTTACTCTCTTTTTTTATAACATTACTTCGCTTTGTTTGTAAGATCGAATTTAAACACTCCGTAAGTTAACGTGAACCCCAGACTAAGGAGATGGGTCGTTGACATAACTCTACCATTTGTTTGAGCTATGTCAATATTGATGGAGACTGGAAGTTACTTGAGTCTAGTCGCCCGAACTCGTAACTAGGCTTTGTGCGGGAATGTTTTTCTTCACGACGAACTGTTATTAAAATGAGACACTAAACATATATACACTCAGGGACTACGTTTAACTTGTTCCAGCGGTGCGAAGTAGACTTCGAGAGCAGAGTTCTTCCCCTTTGAAAGACTCATGCACCGAAATGATTTAATAACTGTTATTAATTAGCTTTTTAACTGAAAACTTTCATATTTGAAAATCATAACGTGTAACAGATGTGAACATTTATAAATAAATACCTAAATTAAAAGGCTTCAAAAAGCATTATTTGGTAGGATTGATGATATATATGTAACAGAGCACGTGAAATTTAAACAAATATTTCACTGCCTCCGCTGAGGATCGAACCCGGTAATATGGATCTACAAGGGTTACATATATAAAAGCGCTACAGGATTCTGCTTTTGACAACCGTCAGCTATACACTGTACCAACCACACCAGGTGAAGTGGGACGGTAACACCCCCTGAAATTTTACCCCTACATTGTATATAAATCTAAAATACTTATAGATTTCATTTAGTAAAAACCTGTTAACAATTACTGTAACAGAGCGCATGATTAA